GCAGTTACGTAAACCACTACTGAAACTTTCTGAGTAAGTCGATCAGTTTTTTATGATATCAAGCGATACACGGATCCATGACAGTTGCAGTGCCACTTGTAATCTGAGGTGCACTGTCACTGCGTCCGTTACTCTGATACATAAGCTGACAAATCCCATATGCCTGTAATTTCATCAGCACCCTTATCCTTCAACACCGGAACGTAGTAATGCTCACATTACTACTTAACGGCAGAAATAGGTAAGGAAATACTTCCCTGGAAGAACTCTTCCACAAGGAACTCTACTGCTATTAAAATACAGCATTTTATACTTACATATTTGAATGTGGGGAAGAGTACAATAAAAAGATTGAACATTGTGATTTTGATTCCGCTTTGTTTTCATTACATTTTATTTAAGTTTCCATCGATAATAGTTTGGTCTATTATTATGGTTTCCAAGGTTTCCACCCACCTATTCCAAATTGACAGCTTCAGTGCACAAAATTCTGGCCTTAGCTAACCCAAGGATGGAAAATCTATGATCTAACTTAATCTTTTACTCACAAAGGAGAATTATTTTAAAACGTTTAATATTCTTCTAGAACATATAGAAGTTTTTTAGAGGTAAAAATGTTCAGGTTAATAATAAAATGGACTGAGATAGCGCTACCATAAAGAAAAATATTATAATTATATTTTCCTGGTTTTTTACTTCATATTCGTATAGCATGCACAACGCGTTAAATAACGCAACTAGCCGCTATCGATGTCATGAAAAACTGAAAAAAAAACTATGTAGAATACCACAGACCACATAATTCCGTGTAAAATACAAAAACATTTGCAAGTAGCGCTATGTATAGCTGTAACGCTGCACGAACCCACAAATTTTACTATAAAATTTATATCGCACTTGACAACTAAAATAGTATTATCTCAAAAATTGTGTTATATTATGTTAACTCAAAATTGCTTTATATTAATAATTTATCTCCAAAATTTCGCTATATTGGTGTGTTATTCATATAGGATTTACTTTCAAAGTGACAGACCTACACTGTCGCTTTGAAACTAAATGGGTAATATAAATTGATAAATCGAAGCCATTTTGAGATAATACTATGTTAGTTGTCATGTGCGATATATCTAATAAATAATATAAAATAAATAAATACAGCGAAAAGAGTCGCCACCTCCCAGACTATGAACGTTACGTGCGTGTTCAAAAACCTTGTATTATTATACCCAGATATAGAAAGTCAAACTAAACACTTTGGACTTGAACCTGAAGCCTTTACATGAATAAGCCATATAGATTTGAATTTAAATCTTTAGTTTCAGTCTATACGGCCTTGCCGTGAATGTTGTGATTAAGTTTGTCAATAAGTTATAAGATCACTTACTATCTAATTTAAAATTGATTTTGATCGACCCTCAGTAACCAGCTGTCAAGATGACAACAACATGATATATGCATTTGAGTCAATTTGTTCCGATTATTTATAAATTGATTTTGTAATTATTTTGTTGTTTCCGCACTTTTGTTGTAATGTTTTACCTTGTGTATAATGGGAAAGCATCCATTTTGATCTGTAGTTAACAATCTCGGTTTCGTGTTACGTAGGGTTACATTGCTTCGTACAAATGAAATGCAACGTACGAGAGCTTGCTCAATTGAGCGATCGACCTTGCGAGATAGAAGGAAGATTGAACTATAAGAAGATCTCGAACGGCAGTTACCGCAATCAGGCAGGTGAGAATCCTTATGTGAAACCTTGCTCTATTGCTAATTCCACTCTCTCAAGTCTTGTCATGTAAAAATTTATCTTCCTTATCGAGTTCTTAGGTTTTCGCGATTGTTACACATAATAATAATGCACACTCTCAACATAGCCCCGCACTAGTGAAACCCTGTGTCGCGGGTGCTATGGACAAACATAGACCACCACAGATTACACTCAAACTCACAGGAGAAATAAACATAGGCCATACAAATATTTCTCCCGGCCTGGGCATCGAACCAGGGACCTATGCGTGGCAACCCGACATGGTAACCATTCAGTCACAGAGTTGGTAAAGTCATCAGCCATTTATGGTCTAATATTAATGCAAAATGTCCTATTATTATCTATATTAATACCTTCTTTTTAAATGTTCAATGTACATTCCAATTTATGCTTCATAATGTTTTATAATTATATTTTAACTTATATATTATAATTATTATATTTTAGCAGTATACATTTTTGATTTTATTATGAATGGTAATTCGAATAAATTAATAGTTATTTTTTATATAAGTGCGGAAACTTAGTCATTATTTACGAGTCTCGAGGCTTCTTGGCCCGAGCCAGAGGCGAGGGTCAAGACGCGAGACAAGTGAAAATGACAAATCCGCACGTGTATCAAATGACGTGTTTTAATACATTTGCGAAAAAACTACATTGAAAATAAAACAAAACAGTATTTAAAAAACACTCATTTTCTGCTAGTAAATTAAAATAATGAAATACAACCACTGCAACCATTATTTAAAAGTCTAAGGAAACCTAGTTCTAACGTGCTATTTTTGTTTATTTTCTGTAATATCGGTCTGTAACCACTTTTCTTATTATGAAGTCCTGGTACTTTTGTTTAAACTTCTTTAGGAACCCGTGCACGGTAGTGAGATACAATTTATCTGTAATACATAAAACAAATATATACATAAAAATCTCGCCTGTCACCCATTCAGGGGTAGGCAGAGACCTCCACTCGATAAGTTCATTATATAGTATTTGTAAATAAATATAAGTTTTAATGACGAATGACTTACGTCACAAAGCACATAAATATTAAATAAATATACAACTTCTTTAGTTCTGTGCTTAAGATTTGAAACAATAGTAAATTTAAAAAAAAATGGAAAAGTAAAAAGCACTAGTGCGAAAATTCCAACTTTCGGCACGATTTGTAGTGTGAAAAATACCACGTTTTGAGCAACTGTATTAAAAAACATTTTCTTCACATCTCCGTTTATAAAAAAAAACATAAAAAGAAATCTAATACTTTATTTCTGAAAGTGTTATGGCGATAACTTCAGTTATATATTTTTTTCAGTCTTCAGTTATATTTAATTGTTAGTTTATTTATAACTTTATCTTTGAGGTTTATGATTCATAATCACGGCAGCTGTGTTGAGTGGGTGAAATATGACATTACTAAAATTTGATTTCATTTATGTTCAATGATGTCCAACTTCAATATAATTATGTATGCGCTATTGTCGGTATAACACTACTTTACTCTGACATATAGTAATATGTACAATCTCTTACAATTTAAATCTATAATTTATTTTTGTTAGTCAAAATAACATATACATTATTTAAATTCTAAACACAATTTTTTAAATTTAATTATTTTTTATAAATTAAAAATGAAGTAACTCATTTGTCCACATACTTCAATGCTAAGTGATAATCATATGCATCTAATTAAAAACGATATTTTAGTGCTGAAAATGTTCTGCTAACTGACTCTGCAGTCAACTGTTAAGTAATTTTACATTGTCTTGACTTTACAGTAAAATCAATTTAGAATGGTTACGCGATACAGATTTCTACATTGTTAAAAACCTAACAGTTTTACATGTCATGCGTCTCTGACATATGTATGTTTGGAACAATTTTGTTAAAAATATTTTATAATAATGACATATTTTTTTAAATTTCGGATGAAAACACAGCTGCTTGTTACAGACACCGCGTGGCTTCAGGATGCTACAGTATCAAAATCATTAGGGAAACTTTTAACTATTTTATGTGGACACATGACGAGTTAAAATACTGAAATTAATCAATATTTCTTCCGATAGCCTGCCCTATTTGTTTGGAATCCAAACTTTACATAGAAATATTATATCCCTTTGACACTAATTTCAAGAAGCCATGCCTTGTATTGTGTATTATTTCATAAAAACATTTATATCATTTCATAAAAAATGTGTATACTCCGGATCGAAGGATTTTTTTCTGAGTGTTCAATCTTTATATTAATAATAATAAAAAATGGGCTAAGTATAGAAAATGATAATCTTCCCAAAGACTGGGAATATAAACTTTTTATGTCTGTAATTTACCTAAATGTTAGTACCATTTTACTAATTTTGTGTATAGTCATATTATACATTTAATAAAAATAAACCTCACACTTTTTCACAGATTTCAAGGTGCACTTAAACTTGTTATTATAAAGTTGATTTTTATGAAATTAATATATTATTTTTAGTTAGTTCCATCGCTCAGGTTGTTTTATTATTAACTTCATAATACATTTTATTTTTTCAGTGTTCAAAGAAAGATGGTTTCGTTTAATTAACAACTATTTATTTTACTTTAAATTAAGTGAAATGGGAACATTTGATTCAAAAAATCCAGCTGGAGTTTTTGTTATGGAGAACTCTTCAATACAAATGGAACACGGACCAAATGTTACTTTCTCTTTTTCAATATCTTTCATGTGAGTGTCAATAGTTTTACTTCATAAAGACATCAAGTCTCTCAGAACAGATGACAGTATGAGCTACAATATAAATATCATAGTCATTTTTTTTAAATTTGTTTTGGCTTCTATCCAACTGAGGACAATTCTGCCTGAATATCAGCATCTGCTGACATCTACTTCACAGATATACAATATACCAGTTAGTTTTAGCACCATAATAGTAACTACCAAGTACCAAGAATAGATAGTAGAAGGAACACATAGTGTTAGTTATATAGTCGGTATGGTATAACAGGCTTGTATCCGTAATTCGACGACTAGACGCCTATTTTGCGTATAAGTTTATATAGTTTATATAATATTTAGATGGATGATTGTGTGGTTTCCTAATGATGAACATGTCTGAAGAAAGATGACCAACACAATCATAAATTTCTAAGGAAACATTATGTATGTATTTAGTTACAATGAAATTGTTTACACTTTAATATGTAGCCAATAAGTAAGTAGATATAGTAGGTCGGTAGGTATAGTTTTTGTCAGAAATTGTGATAAACTTCATTGATAATAATAATTTTGCTAAACAAATTCGTAAATATATTTTTAGAGATGAGCCTGAAAAGAAACATGTGTTTGCTGCCAGAACTGAGGATAATGTTGTGCAGTGGGTAATAAAGTTGAGGGAATGCTCTTATGAATTCCTCAGAAGCCGGTTACATACACTGCAATCAAAAATTTTTTCTATCACGGGCAAGGTAAGGGTAGTTTTATTTCTTAAATACTAAAGTAAAATTCTTCTTATTGTAGTAGAGATTAAAAATTCAACAACCAAATTAATTATCATAAGTTGAAATATTACGCTTGATACCTACTCATAGCAAAGTGTATTGCAAATTGGATAATTTGAAAAAGGTATTTTAATATTTTCCATCCATTTTACGATAAAATGGAAATTTATTATGTTAATTTCTTAACTAATAATATATTAATTTTCGTCTACCAATTAATTTGTTACTTATTCAGGATCCTCTCTTACTGGTGCCAAGAAACGACGGCGCATGTTTGTGGGCCCCGGCTATACCATTTTCAACAGTACCGGCTTGTACAGTGAGCACAAGTTCCTTCAGTTGCCATCTGCACACAAACGGCGCATTTACACTCGAGAGAAGCAAATCAGACGTCCAAGCTTATAGGCATCTCCATTCTCATCACAAAAAAACCACATTCTACACAGACGACATTAAGCAAATTGAGAAAAAGGAAAGTCCGAAAAATTTTGGCTTAGAAAGAAGTAACACGTCAGCCCAATTCACAGGTAGTGGAAATTTGGATATATCTATTTTTGATAATAGACCAAAGTATTCTCGAGCTGCGCCTAGCCCGCCTGTTAGGACTAAGTTGTCACCAAGCAGTCGACGTATTGAATTAAGACCTGACGTCAAAATTCTCGCTGATCAAAGTAAACATTTAGCCACAAGTAGTACTTTAGATGAAGCGCCCATACCACCTCGAAGAAAAATTTCGCCAAAAAATATAGAAGTCATAAATACAGTTACTACTACAGTGACAACAACTAGCAGTAATGGTCAGGCAGAAGGAGAAGATTTAATTAAATTTTAATTATTATTATGATATCATAATCTGATGAATTTCCCTCCTAGATAATAGGAAAAGCCTTGCTTGTCTATTGAAACATTGGGAAAATGTGTTTATTAGCTGCGAGATATTGAGCTCAATGTAAGAGAGGATTTAATTATATTTTAATCATTATTATGATGTCATAATCTTATGAAATTCCCACCTAGAAAATAGGAAAAGCCTTGCCCGTCTATAGAAACATTGTGATATCATGTTTATTGGCAACGAGATAATTCCTTAACTTGAAGTTTCCCAGCACAGTGTTAGAGTAATTGTTGTAAAAAAAAAACCAAACATTAATTTATAAATGAAAAAAAAAATGATTTTGAAACACCCAATAACTTTAAAAGCTCGCAGATCGAATGAAAAGAAAATATAAATCATTACTTTGGTATGATGTAACGGGCTGGTATGTGCAACTCGACGTCTGGGCGCCTATTTTGCGTGTGCAGGGTCCTACTGGTACCACCGGAGCTCGTCCAGTAATCTCAGCATCCAAAAGGATGCTGAAGACTTCGGGAGGCGACCTCGGCAGTCCAAGGTGTACAAGCCATTGTAGTTTTAGTAGCAGTAAAGCTCCTTGTGAAAGAGTTTATCCAGGGTAGTACTACCACCTTACCTATTTCTACCGCCAAGCAGTAATGTCAGCATTACTGTGTTTCTGTTTTGAAGGTTAAGGGTGCTGGTGAAATTACTGACACATGGCACTTGTTAACTTATGTCTCAGGGTGACGGGCGCAGTGGTAGTGCCCCTTAGATCTTTAAAATTTAAAGCTCGTGAGTGGCACTGTAACTGTTAAGGACAGGCGTGTAGCTTACCATCAGGCGCACGACTTGTTCATCCCGTCACTTGATGTTATAAAAAAAAAGTTGGCCACGCCGGACCATTGTATTAGGACGTGCGCGGCCATTTCCTCCCGCTCCATGCACGCTCTGCATAGAGAGCTGTCCGTGATACCTAAATTGAAAAGGTGTTTAGTATATTGATCATGACCCGTGCGGTTGGCAGTTAGAGTGCATAGCTCTTGCCTTTTGAGTATAACAATCATTACATTTTAATTTAAACAATGAGCTGCTTGTCCTGTGTTTGGTAGGTTCCAAAATAATCATCCGCTAAGGAAATTTTATCGTTGCCAATAGCTTTGTTAACGCTAATAAATGTTTTAATGTTGCATTTAGTGTTTGTAAGAAATTTTGTACCAAGAAATTATTTTATGTTTCTTATTTGTGTTGTAATAATTAGTGATAAACAATCATGTCGACAAAAGAAAGTGTAAGACTACTGTTACTTACTATTTGAAATTTATCTTGAGTTTTTCACTGAAGAAAAACATCGTGATGAAACCGGCACGTCAAAGAAGGTTCATAACCCTCGGAAAACGTGTTAAGACCCCACCCGCATAGTGGACTATAGCCTAAAACCCTCGCCTGAAAGGAAACCCGTGCCCCAGCAGCGGGACGTATAAATGGATCGACGATGTATCACACAATTAACTGTCAATGCCAAGAAACAAACCTATCAGGTGACTGGTTTAATAAATCGTTAGTTCCTTGAAAGTGACATTTTAAGTTTAAAATAATAATAAAAAACTTATTAATGGAAATTTGTGGTATCCAAGAAAATGCACTAACCTACCCAAAGCAATTTTATTGGTTTTACTGAAAACTGATTTTTCGTTTAATAATTTTCCAATGCTTTTAAATAAATTGGTGCATTAGGTATGTAAATTTTTGTATGTAAACAAATCATTTATTCTTATTTAAATATTGTAACTTGTGTAATTTTATATTTTTGACTGTTTTTTACCACTTGTATGTTTAGAAATTATAACGAATAACAAGATGGATTCACGAAGTTATGCGAGATCCACCGTGAACAGTGTGTCTTGTGCTGTATTTAATACTTACTTGAGTATATGACTAACAGTCGATATGGACTTCATTTGTTATATTTTTCAAAATACTACCGAATTTCGTAAATTCAGTTTTCAACCTACGCAAATGAACTCACAGGCATATTAAACTGTGTAGCCATTGAACATTAAATTTGCTTTTTGTTAATTTATTTATAATTAAATTTTTTAATATTTATCGTTCTTCTGTTACACACAGGAAATGAAACAATTTTTTTTCGGATCTAAATAGCGTGTATTTGTTCTATTCAAACAAACAAACGTTTCGGGCTCTTTACACATCCCATGGTCACAGCTGACTGAGATAGTAAAGTCAGCCACCAGTTATGCTAATATTTATGCAAACCATCCTATTTTTTTATATATGTAGCGTGAATTGGAAAATTAAAATTTTAATTTTCTAAAGAACATTAAAACATTATTCTTTGGAAAATTAAAATAATGTAATTAATTAACAAGTTTTGCAACTATAAAAAATAGGATATATTGCGTTAATATTAGACATAAGTGGTTGATGATTTTCATTTCATTCAGCCGTGACCATAGAACCTGTAAAGGGCTAGAAACGTTAGTGTGTTTGAAAAAACAAATATACGCTATTTGGATCCGAAAACATAGTTTCATTTCCTATTTTTAATATTATAAACATAACTAATTATTTACTCCATATATTGTATATTAATTCCAGGAACTTGGCTCCACTATTTATTCTTCTAGTTATTCCAAACTTTGCATCAATTCTATCCTTAGCTGCCTGAGTTTAACTGACCGTCATCATACGTGGTGCCATCCACACAAGAGTACGTTGTCGTTAGTATTTTTCATTCAATGTTTGTTTCTACATCCATGAGATTATTAGTATTAAATGTAAGTGCTCGAAGTTGCTACAACGTAGCATTATCTAGTCAGACTCATGAACAATATATTAGTGAAAAGACATTTAAAATTAATGCAGTATTTTTATATGTACGGTTTACCCGCTAGTAATAAAAAAAATACAATCTGAATCTGAATGAAATTTCCACAAAAATAGGTATGTAACAATATCAACTCCATTAACTTTTTCATGTAATTGCAAGTCGCTCGTGCTCATGGACCATCTGTCTGGTTCACCTGGGTGGACCATGGGCAATTATTTTTTTTATTATATCCATCAGCTGTAATACGGGGATTATTTGTCGTGGTTCACCTTGTAATTAAAACAGCAATAAAAAACCAGTCAGCTAGTCCACGGGCACGGAGGGAATGTAAGGTAGGTTGCTACTAAGAAAATTATGGCGATCAATCAATGTACAGTCAGCAAATAAAGAAATGAAACTAATCAGAACTATCTAAACATTTAGAGCCTATACCCACGGAGTATTTTTTACGCGCGTTTCACGAACGCGTGTTTACGGCGGCGCCGCCCGTAGAGTCTATAAGAACGTATGCAAAAGTTTTCTGACTACGACTGAATCGCGTTAACACGCGTTAACTGCGCGTCGTCAGCGCGCAAAAATTACAGTGTGCATAGGCTCTTAAAATTGTTTTCTATGTATACGTTCAGAGTGCTAATGTATCAACATTTGACAATAATTAAACTAATGCCAAAATGTTCAAGGTGCACTTTTTAAACGTTTTGGCAACAAAAGTGCATTTCTAATACATATTATACAATACAACAAAATAATTGTTGCAATTTGCTTTGAACTTACTGATGTCTAACGGCCTTTGATAAATTTAATGAAAACATCACATGATTTCTCGTGATTTTTTTTTACTTGTGTAATAAAATGATACTAATCGAACTTCCTAATTTATTCTATTTCAATTTAAGATTTATATTAAATTTTGTACTTGTAAGGGCTTTAAACAAATAAAACACTATATTTTCTTACGTGTTATATTTATATATTTGTCGTGTATATTAAAATAAACATTAGTTTCACAAAATTTTAAACAAGATTTCTTAGTAATACATAGTGCTAAAATAATATAGTTAATACCCTAAAACGACACGGTTAACATAACCATGCCGAGTACACGCTCTTCTACGTCTATATTTATGTATAACGGTTTAAATAATGCACATAATAATATCACTGTGTACTTAGTTACTTATAAAACTATGACTGAAGCATGTTTTTTATATACCGTTTTACATACCAAGTGTTGGTTTCGACAGCACAAACTAAACTAAACATGTATGAAAGATACACCGAATACAATTTAATTTGTATGCGTCTTTAGGCCTATTCAGATATAACCGAATAATAACGCGCGGTATCTCACTGGGCATTTGTATGCAGTTCCGCGGATAAAGCTGAACTAAAATACCGCCCAGTAGGGCTAACACGATAGGGCGCGACTTGCGCGAGAGCGACATAAAACGCGGGATGTCTATGCTATAGAACAGCAGTATCTGGGCGCGTGTACATGCTAAGAAATTTGACGTGACTGCTACAGAAAAGATGGGAATGGTCTTGTACACGACAAGAACTTTGTTGGATCTAGCCACGAATGTCGTGTCTGTGGCAGACGAGAAAATGATGAGTTAGTATGTACACGATACGAATGCTTTCGGACAGACGTGTCAAAGATAAAACGTGTCAGTGCATTACGAATCTTCCAGGTAGCTGTCGTTTTACCACCGACTGTGGGAAGAAATATGTTGTATATAATGTTGACTACTAAGCAACACCCGTCCATGCGCATATAAACGTTCGTTTACTGATAATGCACTTCATCTCGCCCCATACAATAGCAGCAGAGCGCGTCATGTCGGGGGTAGACAAGATTTTATTGTCCGGCGCCAAGGCAGTGTACCTACACAGTTCGTGTGTAGAAATGACACGAATTCTTACATAGACCCGGCGACTTTTGTTAGAGTAGACGCGCCCTCTCTGGCGCTTTTATGTCGCTCCCGCGCAAGCCGCGCCTATCGTGCTAGCCCCACAGGTCGACGGTATCTTTTCGCTGCGAAATTGCCGGACAGCGGGGAGTACCGCGCACACCCCGCAAGTTAGTGACGATGTTGATATAATGGAAGGTCGCATTTACGATTACGACGTCGAAAAAGTGAAATGTTAAATTTATTGAGATTACACGATACGCGCGGTTATAGTGTAGTCTTATTCACTGACGGCACAGAAATAATTGTCTAGACGGATGAAAATCAAGAAAGTTTCGTTACCGATAGCGGTAGTGGTATCCGCTTAAGTTTGAACAGTACTACGTACCCACTCGGATTCAGCTATCGCTTTCCGCTAATATCGTGTACCTATATCTGAACAGGTCTTTACTTTAGCACTAGGAACTAAAATGTTGGATTAAAATCAATGTAGCTTGCCTTACAATTAAAAGTAGTTTTCATTTGTTATTTCTTTCGGTAATTTGCATTGTGTCAATCTAAGGCACTTGAATATTTTCTAAAATATCACACATTGTCATAACCTACACGTGCAGTTCTGTCATCTATGACAGCGTATCAATATCCTAGGGTGATTTTGTGTAGGTACGAAACATCTTTCCTTTGAAGGGTGTGATTATATATCACCTGCGTAGTGTAGTTGCCATACGTTTTTTGGTGTAACATTTACGTGAGTTTTTGGCGACTTTTAATTACGTGCCGTATCGCGATTACCGAGGGAGTACGGGCCGATAGTAGTGTAGATTTTTAGCCTCCTCGCTACTAGACTTCTAGTCCTACTCCTCAGCTTCCGCATCTATAAATTTTCTGGTGTAGTACTTTAGTGAGTTTTCAGCGACTTTTAGTTGCCGCCGTAGTCACGCATCTCACGGTTGCCGAGTGGGAGTGTCGGCCGGTAGTTGTGTAGTAGCTCCATGGCCTCCTCGCCACAAGACGCCTCGCCACACCTAAGTTTTCGCATCAGCGCCAACTGAAATTGCCACAATTAAAGGGCCAATTAGATTAAGCGCACATTTACAGAATTGGTTTTTGGTGTGATTTAGTTAATGACTGGCCAACCTCCAAAACTTTCCACTTCAACTTCCACTTCACTTTCATTGGCGACTAGAGTCGGTATATAGTATATTTTTTTATGATACTTAGTGACGGCACCCAAGTCGTGCGCCTGGTGGTAAGCGTTACGCCTGTCCACAACTGTTTGTAATTTTTGTAACGTGTTATGATGCGAATTGTTATACATGTTTTGCTGTTGGTGTACCTTTTAATAAAATTTAAAAACAGTTGCAGTGCCGCTCAAAGGGCACTGCCACTGCGCCCTTCAGCCTGAGACATAAGTTGAAGTCTTATGTGCCTGTAATTTCACCAAAACCCTTACCCTTCAAATCCGAACCGCAATAATGCTCGCATTATTGTTTGGCGGCAGAAATTGCTAAGGTAGCCGTACTACCTTGGACGAACTCTTTCACAAGGAGCTCTTCTGCTACGATAAATATCGACTGTAGTAGGTATACCTACTTGCTTTATTTTCTTACAAATATTTGAAACATGTACTGTCAAGAGCACATGAAACACTTTGAACAACATCTCTTTGTTAATTCTCGAATTCAAATCTTATTTGTCAAGCTTGGTGGCCGTATATATTGCCTTTTAGCAAACACTAAGTAATTTAATGTACCTTCTTAATTGCACTTTGGACTTATTTTGAAATAAACGTAACCGCACGTTACTAGGTCGACATTTGCGTCGCGGCGGACTTCGCGACGTAAGATATAAGGCACACCACGTTTAAAAAACCGGTACCCGATTAACTGTTTCCGAATCATCGTTTAGATAAGCAGTTGCTGACCTACAGAATTATAATAAAATAACCATTACACTACCTAAACACTAGAGAATAGTCTCTCTCTCTCTATAATTACTTCATTAAGTTTCAAAATAATTCATTTTCTCGTAAAAACTTACAAATCTCCCCTACAATAATATTATTATTCAATTATTTACATAGTAGAGTTGATAGTTGCGTTATCTATCCACATGTTTCTCAATCCTGTTGTCCTTCACTACTATAAAATGCTTAATATTATTTGTATTTCCTTTGTACCATCGCGCACCGTCATGTGATGCAATTATCATGGCTATACTTATTACTAAATAAAACAAAGGCGTATCGTACCTGTTCTGCTGATACTTCAACGGGTTCTTTGAATAGAATCCATGTAACAGATTCAGTGCAGGGTGGAGTGGTGAGGGAACCGGGGTACGTCCAATAAGCAGTGCGGGCTGGCAGCAACTTGCAAGGGTCGAGGGGGTCAGACATGGTGACTTTGTCATTCTTGTGTTGAATAAACGGTAGCAACCGCACTACTTTGTCCAATTCCTCATGCTTTTTGCCCACCTATAATATATAATACAACATGTAATAAGTATAACGTATTTCCAACAGAACAATATGGAGCAGATGTGAGCAGTTTCTATCAGACTTTTTTAACGATTATCATAATAGTTTCCAGTAAAAATTTAAAATAATTATAGGTAGTGAATAGGATACATTTTCATGTTGGTCTTTTATTGTATTAAATAAAGCCAAATAAAGACGTTATTGCTGTTTCAGCACGTGGCTCTTATCAAAGTTGTTCTTTACGCATTTGACTTTGTATTATTGAGGAAAATAGCTTCATAATGAGTTTTATGTTAATGGTGCTAACTATTGTATTCGGATTTCGACCCACAAACAACTTTGAACTCTGCCGTGCGTGACAAATCAGTAAAAAAAATCTTTTTGGATGTCTATAACTTTAAATCGGATAAATAAAGCATGTTGACGATTGAGATGAACGTTAAACATTTAAAAATCATGTTCGCATTCTTTATAACGTGTACCACTCGTGAAATATGAATAATAATACATAAGAACTTATGCAACCACTGCACTGGGTTGGCTACGTCAAGAAAGCCGTTGATGTAACTTGGATATAAACGCTGCTGCACTTTTAAAAGGATTAGTTGCGAGGCTTCAATAACATAAGACTACTTCGCTCTACTTTACTTTTTAACCGATTTCGAAAAAAAGGAGGAGGTTATATGTTCGGTTGTATGTATGTTCACCGAAGTCTCCGTCAATTGTGGACCGATTTAGAAAATTTAATTTTTTGTTTGAAAGGGTTTGTTTGAAGTCTCGAGGTGGTCCCATTGTCACCATGTCAGAATCTGATGACGGGATCCCATAGAAATCGAGGGAAATCCCCAAATTTTATAGGCATGTACAGTGTGTTTGTTGAATAAATTGAAAGTTTTCGGATAGACGTGGACGTGCAAGACAATCGTCGTCATCTTTCCATTTCTCGTAATGATATAAAATAAAGAGGCGAGCAGCCCCCGCACCTGATGATGGTATGTGCTTCTAATGGGCCTATTTGAATAAAAATATTTGTCTTTGACTTAGCGTCAACTCGGCCGCATGAAGTGATCACTCTCAGACTCAAACACCTGAATGGAAAGGTCACAGTTAACAATCGTCTTAATCTTTCCATTTCTCGTAATACTTTTTTATTATGTGGTCGGATAAGTAAGTAAGGATAAGTAAGAATTTATTTAGTTCTAAATCACAAAGTGCAATACCGTGTAATGTTTAGTAGCTATGGGTACTTAATAAAACACTACACTACGCCTATATTTACTAAAAATGGAAATATAAACAAACTTTAAAAAAAAATTAACTGAAAAAACCACAAAAAGTTACTACACTAAGAAGCGAAAAATAACAAAATACAGATTTAATCCATATGACAACAATGAACATAATACTTTTTATCTGTCTTATTTCATTTTGTACACAGTATTATAATCACTTATTAATCAATCTATCCACATTTATGGTTTATTTATACAGTTACAACGTATCAGGTACCTACCTATAATTTAAAGAAATATTATTATTGGTATGTGCTACCTACTGATCGGTTCAAAATTTTTGTTTTCCACTGAAAAAAATATTGGTACTTAAATATTTACAATATTTCTATGATTCTAATCAGTTATTTTTGGAATCGGCGCCAGGCAAGGCAAATTAACAAACTTAATGTATTGCATTAGAATCCATTAAGGTATTTCTTAGTTTTTCTATCCTAAAGGATTAGTTGCGAGGCTTCAGTGACATAATACTACTTTGTTCCACTTTACTTTTTATTTAAATAGTACGCGTTAAACCCCTTTGTAACTCTAATAACAAGATTGAATAATAAAACCTCATATTCAATATCGTGCTTGAGAGTATAAACTTTTGTATTTATTATCTTCTAATTCTTGCGTAGGTACGCGGTTAGAGAAAGTTAGAGAGAGCTCTCTTTTCTTTCACATCCGCTACAGCGAGTATCAGTTAATGTTATCTATATAGATAGGTACTGAAATGTAAAGCATCACCACAAATATTCAAGAGAATCTCAATTTAAATTTGGTATTAACTTAGTGCTTGCCAATATGGGAAAATGCGTTACCATACACTGTCTATTTTAGGAAAGGAATTACGCGTTTTGTTATTTTTTGTGACTTTATCGACGCGACGATGTGAAAAACGTATAGATAAAATTTGGTACAGAGTTACTCAGCGTAATCTAATTTTCACGCATACGGGCGGCCGTGAACTGTGATCAATTGATCAAAATGTTTGTTTTTGATTTGTGAAAAATAACTGGCCCTAAAATCGCTGAGTTTTTCAAATGCTAGACGTTCATATAACCTAGTGAAGTCGTAGTTTTATGTAGGTGCAACTACGCATTGCTAAAAATATAAACTGTCGCCCTATATACAATAGATATCTACATTACCTATAACTCTTATGGTTGTGCGGTAGACCGCTGAACCATTACTAGAGTAATACTCATATCATAGAAAGAATAATAAAGACTATGATTACTGGCTTAACAATAATAATTCAAAGTACAGATAATGTATTTTATAGTAGATAATATATGGAATGTGTTAAGATTTTTTCAAAAACTAATTTTATTACCATCTAATTATAATTTTGTACTGACATGCTTAGAATATTAACAGTCAGTATGTTTGAAATACCTAAAGACTTACTGTTCTTATTGTAAGCATGGCAGCGTAGTGTCTCTATATTTACGTGAATTATATAGATACGTTTAAAACTGTTAACATTTACCGTAAGTAATACTCCTAATACTGCAAGACCGTCTTCTCGACCAGCGGCTTCTTGGAAACTGTTGTATTTAGTGGTGTTCCAGTGTACCAAATGAAGCTCTCCAGAGAAGGAACGACCGTCAACCGTGTGTTCAGAACCCTCGCCGTTTTTCGCTCCCCAGTGACAATGCCATTGCTGCATTTTGTACACGTTTGCTCCTAGCGGACCGCCACGGAGCTCTGAAAGAGTGAAACCTTAAAATTTTGAGAACTGAATTTAATGAAGCTAACAATATCTTTTTATGATACATTGCTTCATTTTACAATTTACTCTCAATTAATTGTACACTGTTTTTTATAATACATAATTCATTTATTCATTCTTTTATGTGGATTAATAGAGGTGTTACATAATACTATTCCAGGACTTGAACGCTGTAAGGGCACTACAATGATAATAACTAATTATTAATCTCGTACACAAGCCATTTCTTTAATTATTACAATTATGAAATACATATATTAAAACCAATATAATAATTTAGATCACAATAATTAACATTAAAAAGCATAAGTATAGTGATACATATAAATAAAACTATATACATACATAGATAAAACTTTCATAGATTTCTCATCGATGGCGCTACGACTAAAAAATCGTTGAAAACCAAATAAAAAGATATGACACAAGCACAGAAAAATTCGTGAGGTCCGCTGGTTCGTTCCGTGGCTCAGTTGGTACAGCCTCTGGCACGGCAGGCTAGAAAACGTCGGTTCGAATCCGGCCGGATCGAAGGAATTTTTCTAAGTGTTCGATCTTTCTATTAATAATTATAGTGATACAATTTCATTTATCATTCAATTAATAAATTTATGGTCAAAATTGGATAAAATAACGTCTGAAGAAAATAAAAGACTAACAAAAAAAACGTAACAAATGTTCGTAAATTATGATAATGATATTATGTCAAACAAAAACGTGATAAAAATTAAGTTATGTCAATTCAAAGGAGTTGGATGTTTTTAGCTTATTTAATATAATAGTAGCAAAGGGAAGTTTTTTTTTCAACATAATTTTTAACTACGTCCCGGGACGCCTATATTATCGAAATTGCATTTAGTTTAATGGACGTGAAGTTTATGTTTTTCTGGTAAAACAAATTGTTCGAATACAGATTATAAAATTATCATCACGTGTATAAATTACGCTTACATAGTTACAAAGAGGGGTCAAAGATAAATCACAAACGGAACGGATTCGAGGGGAATCAAATGCCGGTTTCAAATAGAACGAAAAGGAAATGCAAATTGAGTCGCGTTAAGTCATCCACCGAAAGGATGCTTCGGAAATGAAGATTTGCAAGGAAAATCTTTTAATAAACGGTCCTAACTGTGATAAAACATCAATGACCTCATTATCTAACAACATGTTATTCTCGTATCACTCCATATAGTTTTATACGGTCAAGTGAATATGCACTTAAATATGCGGAGGATGTTAAGCAGTAAAAATAAGACAAATAATGGGGTTGGGCACTGAACTTGGTAAAATTGTTTTGACAAATAAAATTTTATTTTCGCCAGGTGGTTAAAGTGATTCCGCAAAAATGAATTTGGCAAACCTGAATCGTATCCATTTTCGTCAACTCGCCAGCAATAGCCCGGGTTGACAACAGAGCGGGGGTGATTGACTGAGTACCGCCACACTAGAGGCGGTGCGGTTCCACTGCTGGTAGCGAGAGAAGTATCTATGTCCACGGGACTCTGACGAGCACCTCCGGCTTCTGGAAACTTCTCCGTCCATGTAGCTGGACCTGCAAATTAAACCTACGGTTAATATAATGATTTATGTTCATTTCCATTACATTGTGATAGCAAAAATACTGCGTTGCCATTGAAGGAAAAGTTCCGGTTACCTAAAAAATCGGTTTAAAATAAATACAGGTACCTATTATATTTTAAAGACATTTTTATACTAATATTTTCATAACGCGACACTACCAACATGTTTAAAGCTAGTTAATTCTATACAATTCATATTGAAAGTAATAATAATAACACACACGCTCATAGCCGCACTAGGGAAACCTTGTGTCGCGGGTGCCATAGACAACCACAAATTACACTCAAACTCACGAGAGAAATAAATGCAGGTCACACAAATATTTCTCGAACCCGGGACCTCTGTGTAGCGACCCGCATGGTAACCGATCCGCCACGGAGGCAGTTAGTGCGATAGTGAATAGAAAGTGCAATAAGTACACACATCAAAAAAAGTTTGCGATCACTTCGAAAAACTGAAATCTTTTTTGTTACTGTAGATTATATAATGATTTTTTCTTCTTTTTAGATTCTTTATTTAAAAATAAATTAGAACATAAAACAATGACCCCGTTCAATTGTTTTTTCATATAAAAAGGCTTTCAGTCCTAGCTTACGCTCATTCAGAAATCTGATTTAGTCAATTATAAGCGATTCAAGATATTTTTCGCGGAAAGTTGTGATTGAAAAAATGCCAAGAGGATTATCAGAGGTTTTACGAGCTAGAATAGTAACTTTGAGGGAAGAAGGATACACCACGAGAGTAATAGCACGCAGACTTGCTATATCCCAATCCTGTGTCGTGGCTACGTTGCAGAGGTATCACGGAATGGGGAATTTAGCTGACCGACCCCGCAGCGGTCGCCCAACTGTTTTGACAGCTGCCCAAAAGCGCTATATTAGATTGCTGGCAGCCCGTGATCCAACAATCAACGCCACTAAAATAAAAGCAGAAGTCAGGGCCGCCTCTGGGCTTGAAGTTAGCACGCAGACCGTTCGCAATTGCTTGCACCAGGCTGGATTACGAGCACGGAGGTCTTGGCGAGCTCCGCTCAATTCCCGGCAACGTCAACAACGAAGATTGCAGTGGGCTAGACTTCGGCAAAATGAAG